TTTTCCACGGGATCAATCCCAAAAATTCCAGCAGGAAAATTCCCGGTTCATTCCCACCCTGCTCCAGGCCTGGGATTCCCAGAATTCCATGGCAAACAAACCAACATTCCCAAAAAAACCCCCCAAAACTCCAAATCCAGGAATTTCAGAGAGATTCCAATCCCTTCATTTCTCCAAATCCCATGGAATTACCGAAGCTGGAAAAGGCTGGGATGGGAAACGGGAAAGGGAAAATATTCCAAGAGGAGAAATGTGGGATCGTGTCCCGCCGGAACCCGGAAGAGATCGGGAAGAATTATCCCGAAAGAACACCAAATTCCCAAAATCCTCAAAAAAAATGGGAATTACGCCATAAAACCCCCCCAAAAAAACACCGGGATAGAGCGGAAAAAATTCCAGAGGGAATCCCGAAGGAATTACGGGAACGTCGAGCTCCCGAATCCAAAGGAAAAGTTGGAACTGACCTCCGGTGTCGGGATCGTGGAAGTTGGGATCCAGCCCCTTCTCCAGCAGCCGGGAAACCTTCTCCGAGTTCAGCATCTGCACGTATTCCATGAATTTCTTCAGATTCGCCTGGATCCGGGAAAAACCACGGCGTCAGCATCCCGAAAATTCCAGGAAAAACCGCCCCGGGCCGGGGGGAGACATCCCGAAAATCCGAGGAAAATTGGGATAAGGAGACGGAATTCCAACCCCAATCCGGGTGGAAAATTCTCATTCCAGGCTTTCCTCAAGTTGGGATTGGTGGATTATCCAGTGGGAATTCAGAATCCCAAATTTTGAGGTTGGAATTTGGTTCTGCTGAGCCGGAATTCCCAAAGATTTTCCCGGAATTCCCAAATCGTTGTGATTTTCCCCGGTTTTTGGGGTTTTTTTTTTAATGGCTCGGTGACGTCATTTTTGAAATTCCCAGGTCTTGGGAACTCAGAATCCCAAATTTTGGGGTTGGAATTTGGTTCTGCTGAGCCAGAATTCCCAAAGATTTTCCCAGAATTCCCAAATTGTAGGGATTTTTTCCATTTTTGGGGGGTTTTTTATGGCTCGGTGAAGTCGTTTTTGAAATTCCCGAATTTTGGGAAAATCCCATTCCCAGATTTCCAGGTTTTTCGTTGGAGAAATTTTTTTTCGGGAGTTTAAAAATCCGACTTTGGGAAAAAATCCCGGAAAATCCCGGGAATTGAGGGGAAAAATTTGGGAAAAGCTCCAAGGAAAGGGAGAAGTCGAAGCCGGATTTCACATCCAAGGGAAAAAAAATTCCAATTCCAACATTTCCCGCCTTAATTATGTACGGAAAAATCCTCTTAGGGAGGGATGAATCCCAAAATTCCCTTTGGATTTGGACGTTTTCCGGTTGGAAAATTGGGGGAAAAAAAACTCGGGATGAGGTTTGGAAATTCCTTTGGAAGGGAATTTGGGAATTCTCATCCCATTCCAAGGGCTTGGGCTCTTCCCGTTATCCCCGGTTGTTCCAAAGATTCCAGGGATGAGGAAGATTCCTTGGAATTGCCGGATCATCCTGTGGGAATTCAGGCTCCCAAATTTTGGGGTTGGAATTTGGGTTCTCCCAAAAATTCCCAAAGATTTTCCTGGAATTCCCGAATCGTTGGGATTTTTCCTGGGTTTTTTTTTTTTTTTTAATGGTGAAGTCGTTATGAAATTCCAGGATTTGGGAAAATCCCGGCTCTCCCATTCCCGGATTTCCAGGTTTTTTTCATTAGAGAATTTTTTTTTTTAGGGATTTTTTTCCAAAAAAAAATTTGGGAAAAATCCTGGAAAATCCCGAGAGCTGGAATTCAGGCCGGCCGTGCCCTTGGAGCAGGGAAAATCCGGAGCAAATCCATGGATCCGCCTCCGGCTCCCGGCAAACGGATTCATCGATCCCATAAAAAAGGGAAATTATGGATTTTCCACGGAGCCGCTGGAATTGGGCAGCTCCTCCCAGCGGGAATCTCCGGAGCACCGGGAATCCTGGAATGGTTTGGGTGGGAAGAGACCTCAAATCCCATCCTGATCCCGGCAATTCCAAGGGCAGGATTCCCTTTTCCAGCCCCAAATTCCAGGAAAATCCCTCGGGATGGATTCGGAGCATCCCGAATCCCAGAATTCCAGAATGGTTTGGGATGGGATCCAGGAATCTTCCATCCCATTCCAATCCCGCCATTCCAGGTGCTCCAAGATTTTCCTCGGACATTCCCGGGATCCAGGGGCAGCCCCAGCTGCTCTGGCAATTCCAGTCCAGCCAGGAATTCCCAATTCCCAAAATCCCACCCCCATCTCCCCTTGCCCAGGGAATTCCCTCCATTCCCAGCTCTCCCAGCCTGGCATCGGATCCAAAGGAATTTTGGGATCCAGGGGCTTCCCTGGGAATCTCGGCACTGCAGGAAGGGTCTCCCTTCCCTTTCCCAGCCCCAACTTCCAGAAAAATCCCTCGGGATGGATTCGGAGCCTCCCAAATCCCAGAATGGTTTGGGATGGGATCCAGGGACCTTCAATCCCATCCCATTCCAATCCCACCATCCCAGGCTGCTCCAAGCTTTCCCTGGACATTCCCGGGGTCCAGGGGCAGCCCCGGCTGCTCTGGGATTCCTCAGGATTTCCTGGAATTCCAGGGCTGGAGGGGTTTCCCTGGGCATTTTCCATGGGATCTCCAGGTTTTCCATGGGAATTCCGTGGGAATTCCGTGGGAATTCCGCGGCGGGCTCACCTTGGTGTGCAGCTTGGCGAACTGTTTGTCGTCCAGCAGCGGCTGCGAGTAAACGCGGCGCTTGTAACGGAACTGCGGGAATGGGAATGGGAAGAGAAATCAAATTAAAATGGAATCCAATTAAAATGGAATGGAATGGAATGGAATGGAATGGAATGGAATGGAATGGAATGGAATGGAATAAAACAAAACAAAACAAAATAAAATAAAATAAAGTAAAATAAAATAAAATTAGAACTAGAAATAAAAATAGAAATAAAATAAAATAAAATAAAATAAAATAAAATAAAATAAAATAAAATAAAATAAAAATAGAAATCAAATTAAAATAAAATAGAATTAAATAGAATAGAATAGAATCGAACAAGAAATAGAAATAGAAATGAAAATAAAAATAAAATAGAAATAGAAGTAGAAATTGAAATAAAAATCAAAAATAAAATAAAATAAAATACTTAAATAAAATTAGAAATAGAAATAGAAATAGAAATAGAAATAGAAATAGAAATAGAAGTAAAAATTGAAATTGAAATAAAAATGAAAATACAAATAAAAAATAAAATAAAATAAAATAAAATAAAATAAAATAAAATAAAATAAAATAAAATAAAATAATAAAATAAAATAGAATAAAATAAAATAAAATAAATATAGAATAAAACAAAACAAAATAAAATCAATTTAAATTAAATTAGAATTTAAATTAAATTAAAATTAAAATTAATATTAAATTAAAATTAATATTGAATTAAATTAATCTAAATCAACCAAAACCAAACCGAACCCCCACCCCCAGAATGTCCCACCTCCAGGTAGGGTCCGGGCACTCCGGTTCCCAGCGGATATTCCCGCAGCAGCCGCTCCTCATCCAGGAATTTCCCGGCGCGGCCGTTGAAGGGCGGCTGGAAGAGGCCGTAGTTGAGCACGTCCGTGAGGCTGTGGCTGAGCGCGCACAGCACGCGCTGCTTGGACACCCACACCGGAACGTCGGGGTTCAGCCGCAGACACTTCTGGAATGGCACGGAAAAACGGGAATCGGGAGGGGAAATTGGGAATGGGGGTTGGGGGTCGTGGGAAAGGAGGAATTCCCATGGTTTTCCCAGGATTTTTGGGGGAAAAATGAAAAAAAATTGGGATATTACCAGTGGGAACGTCTCGATTTTTTTCAGTTTTTTAAATAATTTAAGCCATAAAAACATTGGGAATTCCAAAGGGAAACTGAGGAAGAAAACAGGAATTCATTGGGTTTTCCATGGAAATGATGGGGGGAAAGGGGGAAATGGGGGTTGGATTTATGGAAAATGAGGAATTCCCAAGGTTTTCCTGGGTTTTTTTGAGTAAAAATGAAAAAAAATCGGGATGTTCCCATTGGGAATTCCAAAGGGAAACTGAGGAACTGGGAATTCTCAGCATTCCCTGTGGAAGGAATCATGGGAATGGGGGAAAACGAGGGAGGGCCAGATGGGATTTGGGATTTTTTGGGATTCAGGGAGACTCCAACTCCTGGAAAATGAACCATTCCCAAATTTCCCCATTTTACAACAAACGTTATCCCGAATCCTTCGGATATTCCCGGCCCGGGAATTCCTTGGATTCCTTTCGGTAGGAGGAAAAGGCGGAGCCGGGTTGGGATTGAGGGATCCGTTCCAAATCAATCCCGGGAAAAATTCCCAATTTTTGGATGGCAAAGCAAATTCCCAGCCCAGCCCTGTGCTCTTCCAGCAGAAACTTCCCGCTTTTCCCAGGTTTTCCAATGTTTTCCCAAGTTTTCCCCAGGATTTCCCAAGTTTCTCCAGGTTTTCCCAAGGTTTTCCCAAAGTTTTCCCAAGATTTCCCAAGTTTTCCCAGCTTTTCGAGGTTTCTCCAGATTTTCCCAGGTTTTCCCAGATTTTCCCAGCTTTTCCCAAGTTTTCCCCGATTTTCAAAGGTTTTCCCAAGTTTCCCCATTTTTTCCCAGCTTTTCCCAGGTTTCCCCATTTTTTCCCAGATTTTCCCAGATTTTCCCAAATTCTTCCAGGTTTTCCCAAGTTTCTCCAGGTTTTCCAAGGTTTTTCCAAGGTTTTCCCCAGGTTTTCTCAGGTTTCCCCATTTTTTCCCCAATTTCCCCACATTTCCCCATTGTTTCTCCAGGTTTTCCAAGGTTTTTCAGTTTTTCCCAGATTTTCCAAGGTTTTCCCAAGTTTCCCCATTTTTTCCCAGGTTTTCCCAAGTTTCTCCATGTTTCCCAAGTTTTTCCCAAGTTTTCCCAGTTTTTCCCAGATTTTCCTAGGTTTTCCCAAGTTCTTCCAGGTTTCCCCTGGTTTTCCCAAGTTTCTCCAAGTTTTCTAAGGTTTTTCCAAGTTTTTCCCCATTTTTTCCCAGGTTTTCCCACATTTTCCCAAGTTTTTCCAGCTTTTCCCAGGTTTCTCCAGAATTTTCCCAGGTTTCCCAAGATTTTTCCAAGTTTTCCCAGGTTTCTCCATTTTTTCCCGAGTTCTCCCAGGTTTTCCCACATTTTCCAAGGTTTTCCCAAGGTTTTCCCCAGGTTTTCCCAAGTTTTTTCAGCTTTTCCCAGGTTTCCCCATTTTTTCCCATTTTTTCCCAGATTTTCCCAGATTTTCCCAAATTCTCCCAGGTTTTCCCAAGTTTCTCCAAGTTTTCTAAGGTTTTTCCCAGTTTTCCCCATTTTTTCCCAGGTTTTCCCAGGTTTTCCCAAGGTTTCCCCAAGATTTCCCAAGTTTTCCCAGCTGTTCTGAGGTTTCTCCAGATTTTCCCAGGTTTCCCCAGGTTTCCCAAGCTTCTTCCAAGTTTTTCCAGGTTTCCCAAGTTTCCCCATTTTTTCCCAGATTTTCCCAGGTTTCTTCAGGTTTCTCCAGGTTTTCCAAGTTTTCCCAGGTTTCTCCATTTTTTCCCGAGTTCTCCCAGGTTTTCCCACATTTTCCAAGGTTTTCCCAAGGTTTTCCCCAGGTTTTCCCAAGTTTTTTCAGCTTTTCCCAGGTTT